AAAATTTGGGATCCATTTAGAGTTTGGGCAACATTATTATATACGCTTGCATTTATGAATTTGGAAAAAGATTTAAAAGGTATTTATTAGAAATTCTCATGAGAAAGTTTATGGTATTGAGAAGGAGATTTAAATGATTTATGCCTATGTTTATTGTCTTAAACCTGTTGATTTTCTAATAATTTCATAATGACATGAATGAAATCACCCTCCCATCTTTACTTTTCAGGTTCAACTTAAATAATATAACATTTTGATTTTTGTGTTTAAATTATTTGTACTTATGAAGCTTGATAGCAGATAATTAAAGGTTTGTCATTGAAATATTTACCTAATCATTGAATTTTTTAGGATACCAACTTCAGGGTGCCATTAAACAAGTTTTCAAAAGAGACACTTAAAGAGCTTAATTTGAAGTATTATACACCAGATATTCACCAAGCTGCATTTGCCTTACCATTAGCTATTGCTGAAGTAAGAAACACTTATTTTCAATAAATATGAATATTATGTTGTAGAAGTTTTAAGCTTTCCCATGCCTTTTCTCAATGAAATTAACTGGCTTACACTGTTTTCTTGCTAATTATGTTAAATTTTAATGTGTGTCAAGAGTCAAAATAGTGATTGTACATTTATTTTAATTATGAACTGAATATATTTTAAAATGCATTTCACATACAATTGAACCTTTGTGTATGAAGTAATGAATAAAATGTATGAATAAAATTAAAAAAAATAATAATTCAAAATATTTAGTTATGTTTTTTTAACAACCCTATTTGTGAACGAGTGAAATATTGGTATTATTCTATTACTTACTATATGTTAGTGGAATTAAATCCTATTTTAAAATTCTGAATATAAAAATGATATATTAAATAAATTTTCAAACATAACAGGGATGGGAATTTGGCCAAAAAATTTCCAACTCCCAACTTGTATATCTATAAAAGCAGTTATAAAATTAATTGTAAAGATGTAGTTTTGTCCTTAGTTAAAAGAAATTCTTAAACTTTAAATTTATTTATTAAAAAAATGTATATACCTTGTACCAAAATATTATAGAACAATTTAAGGCAACCAAAAGAAAAGTGTACATTTTAATCACAGAGATGCTGTATTTGTAATACATTAATTTTTCTTTTCCTGCTTTTTATAATAGAATAGACTGGTTTTATTATTGAAAGATACAATAGAATTTTCTCCTTAATTCATGGAATTTCAGAAGAGTTAGGAGGTTAATTTTTGTACTGACTCTGGATTCTTTACTTTTGACTGCCCATCTCTGCTACATACCTCTGAAGTTGAAATATTCTAATTTAAGTCTAAAGCCATTTATGAATAGAATAAAAAAAAATATTTTTTCTTCTATGAACATAATCACAAAAAACAGAGCTATTATAATTCATTGTGTATTGTTTAGGAAATGCTAATAAAGGGGCTTTTGAAATAAAATAGCAGCAAGTTTTGAAAAAATTGAAACCGGACACTTTTTTTTTCTTATGTAACTTCTTTCTTTAAAATAATTTTTATGTTTTTGATAAATTAGTTGTATTTTGCTAAATGTATAATTTTTTTTTCTTCTTTTGCAGACATTGGATTTGAAATGGGAAATGAAGTAATAATTGCATTTCTTATGGGAGTACAGTTGAATGACAATTAAGGTTGTGAATGTTAAAAAAAAAAAAAATGCTGTTATTAGAAGTATTTTATATTTATTGAAAACATAACGTTTTCTGTATTGTTTAGTGACTTAAGTACTGTTGTATAACTAAATATGTTACATTTTTTGTTCTGCTTACAAAGCTATTAATTTGTTTACTTACATGCTGAAATTTTACAAGTATATGTGAAGTATTTTACTTATTTATAGCATTTATATGCTTAGCAAAAAAACTAAGCTTTTCTTTTTATTGAGTTTGCGAGTACTTAACTTAGAAATCTGTGATAAAGAATATTTTGTGTGTACTTGGCAATTGACCTTTTGTGAAATATTAGCTTGTTAATGTTTTCAAAACTTTTCTTAAATAAGGTACACCAATAACAATTTCGTTAAACTCTTATTTGAATGTTTTCTTACACACAATGCAAGCTTATACCTAAAAATTTAAGGAAAATTAAAAAAATTACAAGTACAAATTATTGACTGGGACCAGATATATCTAATGATTAAATATCAGGGAATCCCTTTTCCTTCAAATATAGTTTACATACTGAATTTCTTGTAGTTTTCTTTTTTTTTTTTTTATTACTTTTATAATTTGTCATACATTAAATAATAGCTTGCATTATTTAATGTATGACAAATTCCCCCCCTTATAAATTGTACTGTAATTTTGATAAAAATCATTCATCATTATTGAATTTTATAATCATTTTAATGAAATATTAGTAATTTTTTGTACTATAAAATGTTTATCCTCTGAATATCATCATTGCTCAACTGCATGTCACTCATTATTTTTCAAACTATTTATGCTCAAAACTTCTCTCCAATTTAAAAAAAAAAAAAAAACTCCAGAGATGAAAATAATGACCTTGAATTGAATTTTAAATCTCAATGTACAAAACATTCATTTTTAAGAAGAAAAAAATTTGTTAATCAAATGTATTAGTGCATTTTTTTTTTATGCGCTGTTTAATAAATAAGTGGTTTTTACTAGTTGGATTTCCAGTAGTTTTTATATGACCCGATAGTTACATATTTGTAAAGACAATCTTACTGGTGAATTACCTTGTCAATTTAATTTCTGCAAAACTCTTTAGGCTGAGAGGAACTTAAAGAAAATGTTTATCATTTTGACATTTGATGCAAACCATTACTTGGCCTTTGTGGATCCTTCTTTAATAAAAAAAAAAGCATGAAATTTATAAACATGCATGATATACAAATGGATCATTAAATACAATCAATTTGTACTCATATTTTAAAAAAACTGACCCAGTCCATTTACTTATCAAACAATTCTTATTCTTGCCTTAAATATTTTTCATAAAAACTATTGTTAATGTATATTTATTTTTTAATAAAGAATTCATGTTTTGCAATTTGTTTTGATGCATAACTCCTCAGTATCCTTGTACACCTTTAAATGGTAAATAATTGCAAGCTAGTAAACAAAAAGTGTATTTTTTAAAGCTTTATATGAATACAACTAATTTTATAACATTAGTGTTAAAGATCAGTTGAAACAAATTTAATGTTATTCAAAAAACACAATATGTGAAAAATTAATTTTATATTAACATGTTACTTCTATGTTTTTTTACATATTAATCAGGTGTATACTAAAGGCACAAACAATACACATTCCAATTGTTTAATTTATTTTCTCATCCTTTTCAAACTATTTATAATAAATATAAAAGCATGGTTGAAAATGATTGTTTAATTGGTTTATAACTTAATATGACAAAGCCCTTAAATTCTGCCTCGCTTCATACAATGTTTTAAATGGATCAAGTATCAGTAATGCTCAATTTTTTTAATTGTGTTTGTTTAAATTATACAGGGGTGGAAAATCAAAAAATGATTTTCGTAGCCAGGCAAATTGTATTTTTGTAGTAGCTTTCTCAGTGGTTTCATGGCAGTATTTTTTTACATTAACAGTTCTTCCTCATATTTCAAAGCGTATACTACTTAGCAATCGTATGATTGATATGAAATATTGCACGATTTGTACCGCAGCTGAATTAAACTCAATAATTTTGTATGATATTTGCAATTCAATATGAAACTAATTTATTAATGTGTTTATAAGAAGAAATTTAAATTATTTTTTATTTAATGTATATTAATAAACACATTACAGTAATGGATGTATTTATTAAAATTTTTTTTTCTTGCAACTTTGAAAATTTTGGGATTCTTAGCAATGAACATTTTTTATGGTAATATTGTACTAATTTTTAATAGATTTCATATAAAAATATGATTATTAAATTTTTCTCGAAATTTTGTTTTGGCATGTTATTTTAAGTGAATGGTATTAAGATATAAAAGATTCATTTAAAAGTATCAAATGATATAAGAGTTTTGATTGAGAAAGAAAAAAATGCTTATATGTTTAAAATTAATTATTTCTATTTGTATAAATGTGCAAATGATGTTTTTTAGTTTCGAAATAAAATCTAAAATTGTATGCATCCAATTAAAAAAAAATACAAAATGTGTCACAAAAAATATTCAATGCTAAGAATTCCAAAATATTCAAAATTGCAAGAAAGATAAAAAAATACATCCAATATGTCAAGCATAACGTGAATCAACAACAATTACATATAGATAAATATGTTTTGAAATTTTATTTAACATCTTATTTTTGGTAATTATAACAGTTGTAGATTATCTGTAGAAAAAAAAATATGCCTAAGAAATTCAGTTCAAATAATAAATAAAGAATTAGCTATAATCTGTCATTTTGAAGGACTACAGTAAGATTTGGATATTATTTAACAAGATAAAAAAGGACAAATAAAACATTAATTGGAGAGAAAAAATTTAGAAAATTATGCTTGGTGATGAATAATTTACAAATGTAAAATACTAATAAAATTTGGAATTAATTTAAATTTAATACATTTATTTGAAACAGTTATTATAGAAAGATTTAGTAATATATGTTCACAAGCAAATTATTTATCCTGTTTGGAAAACCTTATAAGTATTAAAACAAGTGTTTCAGTAGGGTAGGTTATTCCATCTTAATTTTTTTATATCAAAGATTATTTATTAGAAAACATTTATAGCATAAAACAAGAATTAAAACTATTGTAAACATTTTCTAACTTAATTATAATTGTAAGGAATCAAAGGGAAAGAATTTTAGATGCAACAAATAAAACTTGTGATATACTCCTAAAATTAAAACTATGCCTTTCAATGATTAATTCATTTTAATACAGATATAATCAATGTATATTTTATACAAACATAAATAAAATGAATGTTACTGATACTTGATGCATTTAAAAAAAAAAAAAATTAATGTATGAAGGCCAACGGCCGTACCATGCTGAATATACCGGTTCTCGTTAGATCACCGAAGTTAAGCATCATTGGGCGCGGTCGCTACTTGGGTGGGTGACCACCTGGGAACACTGCGTGCCGTTGGCAAATTTGGGACCTGAATGGCCGAGTGTCTAGCGCTCTGTGCCACAGGTTTCGGGTTCGAATCCACTTTAAGCCGTAGGTCCCGGTCTTCTATGACTGTAAGAGCGTCACGGAGCAAAAGTCAGGCTTCTACCTACGGGTGCTCCATCACAACAGAAGCTGCTTCCTTCCCCTTCAATCATGAGTCCATATGGGCTCGTGGACTTGGCCAGCCAAGTGGGATAAGAAACAACAACAAAATTAATGTTGCATAAAACAACGTATGAAGCAAGGCAGAATTTAAGGTCTTTATTTAATTGGTTTATGACTTAATGTGATGATTAGCAAAAAAATAAACTTTCGGCGTGTTCACACAAATGTCAATTTATCAAATTTTTGCATGCCTCAAACAAACAAGCTAATTGCACAGAATTTCTACACCATTTAGAGCTTGTTGGCTATTTGTAGATTTAAAAGTAACTTTCATCAAAGAACAGAGGATACCTTTGATCAAATTTGTATTACTGAAAATATTATCTGGGAAACAGAAAATGGTTAATACTTTTATCATGTTGAAGATGGCAATGATGTTACATATATGATTTTTTTTTTTTTTAAGAGAAGAAACTGAATGAACAATTGGAAGTGAACCGATGTAAAAACTAGTTTTTCTGACAACATTCACACTGGAAATTATGCTTTTCTATCACTATACAAATCCAGGTTTCTTTTACAGTTCAGTTTTCTCTGATGTGAATCCAGTTTAAGAAGTTTTTCTCAAAATTTTAACCTAACTCTTGAGCCAATGACATGGCATTTTCAAAGTAATGAATTATAAGACAAGGTTAAGATTTACATGGGTTACTGCACTCATATATCAACAAAGAAAATAATTTTCTTATAAAAACAATTGTTAGTTGAGTGCACTTGTTTGATTTCTCGGCAAACAAAGAGCTTTACATTGAAAAAATAACAATTGGGAAAAGATCTTAATATTTTTTACATAAAATGTTTACATGAGTTTGTGCTATCAAAAATTATAAAGTAGTAAAATAAATATCTCAATATATACATTTCGTTTATTTTGGTCAATTTCTATTTTTAACTTGGCCACGCATACAGTGATTAAATATTGCACCTCAGCTCTACAATTGATTGAATTAAGTTAAAGCTTTGAATTCAGCTTCAAATTGTTGTATGAAATGCATGAATAGAAGCTAATTAGAATATTCCATGACTGAGAAGAGCATTCAACTAAATTTTTTTTTTAGTACAGAAAAAAAAAATATCTTTACTAGTTTTGGTGTTTTAATGCCCCTGTGGTAGTTAACTTCATCATCAAGAGATTATGAATTAAATAATTACAATCCACTGTTGCAAAATGGATATCTGATTCTTATGCAACATTAAAATAATTATTTCATTAATAATAATTATTATTACTTCCATTTCTAGCAAACACAAGTTAAAAATCACTGCTTAAGAATTAAATTCTACTTTGAATTCAAAACAATTATATCAAGAATATAAGCTATTAAAAAAAAAATACCAATTAAGCAGATTGAAAATTAGTCTTAACGAAATTTATCATATATTTCGACTATACAATTGGATAAATAACTTTCTTTTGTACAAAATATGTGAACATATTGGATTAGTTTAAAGAAATTTAATATCAATTATTGAAATTTCTGGTCTTTTTTTTTTTTTTTTTTTTTTTAAAAATACAAATAAAAGTGTATGAATACTTTCAGCATTTACTGTATATTTGAGTTCTTCATTAGGCCATTCATAAAAAGATACTTTCATTACTTTCCAAACAAACAAAAAATTCAAAATGTGTAATTAATTTAAGAATAGAAATGCATCTTATTTTAAGAATTTTTTTATTTAATCAAAATCTTCATTCATTTTCTTCTTCATCCTCTTCATCTTCATTGTTGATCTGGAAGTAACGTAACTCATAAGAGTCCTTTCCATTTGCAACAACACGTAGCCAATCTCTAAGATTATGCTTTTTCAGATACTTCTTAGTCAGGTATTTAAGGTAACTGAAATAAAAAATTTAAGAAATAGATATATCTAAATTTATGTATATAAAATTCTTTAACAAAATACCAATAGTCTAGAACAGACAAATTCTATTGACACCAAGAATACAATAAAGGTAAGATAGATCAGATTTGTAACAGAACTAATTTGATTTATAAGAAATATCGATAAAATATACTTACCGCTTGGAAAATCTACAATCAGCAGTAACTGTAATCTTAGACTTATTTCTTTCAATGGTCACGGCATTACCAAAGTTATTTGTTTTGCCATTAACTTTGATTTTTTCATGGAGGAATTTTTCCTAGAAAATATTAATTCTTCAAAAAATGTTTTGACTACACAAACTAAAAAAAGAGTATAAACATTAATTAAAAGTATAAAAATTCAAATATTTTAAAAATGGTTTACAAGTTGAACTACAGTTTTACTTATCATATATATTAACTTTGAATACCAACTCTTCTGCACTGTAGAAAAGCCTTCATTTAATAACAGACAGATTTTTTTTATAATTAACTTTTCAACTATCTTGAAATGGGAAATTTAAATAGCAATATTTTAATGAAGAGTTAATTTAATATAAAATAAAAATATGTTATTTATATTCAAAGTATACTAGAAACCCATATTTATTCAGATAAAAAAAAATAATTACAAATAAATGTAAATAATGCTTTTGAAGATTCTATAACAAAGATGAATTTATACAATGGAAGCAAATCTTATAAATGAAATAAAACATATTTTCATATAATCATGATGCATAACATAAAACCCATCTAGCATTTTGAAATGCAACAAAATAATTTTTCCCTTTAATTGTAATACATAAATCTAGGGCTTTGGTAGATACCTATCAAACAATCAAATACAATGTTAAAAATTTATATCACTTAAGACAAAAACTTATCACTTTTTTTTTTTTTTAAGAAAATCTAGTAGAGTATAATAGGCAAAGCATCTTATTTTCTAAATGTATTTTTTTTTTATGTATGTCCAAAATTATTGAAACCTAGGCACTACAAAATTCTAAAAAATTTTCAAACAGCCTTCATTTTTAACTTTCAAATAATTAAGATTTATTAAAAATACAAATAAAATAAACAAAGCCTCTATTATTATAATATTTAAACCGATAAATTTACAAAAAAAAAAAAAAAAATTATATAATACTTTGCACAAACAGTAATACCTAATAACAATAAGCAAGGATAAAATACTTCATTTCTTTAAAATTAAAAAATTTCTATATAATAGAATGGTTATCAAATATGTAAATTTCATGGAACATATAATAGAATTAAAGACATCATTTAAATAATATTTGAAAATACTTACATAATCTGCAACAACCATGATACTATCTTCAACAGGATGAGTGGTGTCAATAGTAAATCTTTTTGGTTGCAACTTCTTTTTTTTGCCCTTTCCCTTCAAAACTGGCTTTGCATCCTTTTTTTTGTGTACCTTTAATTAAAATATCAGTTTCCTATTAACACAAAATTCGGAAAATATTAATTCATAACAATTGAAATCTATACATTGAAAAAAATATTCTAGGACAAGGCTATCCTATGATCTTAATATGGCCCAAATCTTGTTTTTTGAACAAAACTTTTCTTGCAGATTTGATAGAATTAACAAAAGATGCACTTTGCAAACTGGAATATTTGTGTTTATGAAACAAATTTCACATGATACAATTGTGTAACTAATCACAGTTTATTTAGGTACTACACTTTATTTTAAAATTTAGTAGGTACAGCAATTAGTTAATTAGATCAAGACTAATAAAATCTAATTATTCAATTAGACTTGATTAGTCATTTAATTTCAAAATAGACTGGCACTTTATAGGCAATTTAGTGATTTAGTAAATATATTTACATAGTTTTTCCTCACATAATTTTTAATTTAATTAACTGTCAGATTCAATTTAAGAAGTTAAATTACATTGCTTCTCTTTAGTAGATCCCCCTTTTTTTTTCACCTCCGTAGTTAGAAAAAAAATTCTAGTTTCGTAAAAGTATTACAACTTCGTATAACTTTTTATTTATCAATTAATATGAATTTAATTAACCTCTAACAAATTACGAAAGTAGGCCTCGTTATTCTATAACACAAATTACTGAAATTAAAAAAAAAAAAAAAAAAAAACACATACACACAACCTAAGTGGTATTAGTATTAATATACAATTTCACACCAATTAATATATTTAATAAAGGAATATACCTTTGGACAGATCAAATTAAACACATTTTAAACATTACACGTGTTAGCTGAAAAGGTAACTTTACAACTAATCTCTTACAATCCAATTATCATAATGAATTAACAAAATAGATATTTAATAACAATTTATTAAAATTCTCAAAAGAATAACTACAATTTATCTGTAATTTAATTTTATAAGAAATCTATAATACAGAAAATGGCGGTACTTAAAGTAACACGTGTAAAAGTAGTCAATGATTTCAATAAGAAAACATAAAACAATAATTAAGTGCAAACTGACTTAAAATTCATTTCTTAATAACATTTATAAGGAATTAATATTACTTACAACGGCCATTGTTAAATTTTAAGTAAACCTTATTCCTAACACTATTTTGTCGTCACCATCAAACTTCACAACGCGTTGCCAATTTTTTTAAAAAAAAAAGAGTAAAAATGAAGTTGAGGAGTTTCTTCCTGAAGAATTTTAATCAAACTTCGCAATCAAAATTACAAGGGATAAACAAATTTTTAATTGATTTAAGATCATGTAAAATAAAAAAATATTTTCAGTGGAATTTTAGTTTTAAAAAACAATTTAATATGGTGTACGTTTTATAAATCATTTAGAGCTTCTTTTGAGAGTACATTTGTTTATAGTGATTTCGAAATTTTTTACTTTTATTCTATTCATACTTTGACTTTAAAAATATAGATTGATGTCAGTTTAAAAAAGTTTTAAATAAGC